GTCTGGGAAGCCCCTTAGGGCCAGAGTTGACATTTTCTGTAAAGGATCAGACAGTAAATAATTCAGGCTTTGAGAATCACATGGTCTCTGTGAACTACTCACCTCTGCCCTTCCAGCAGAAAAGCAGCCACGGGAAATATGGAAATGAATGGGTGTGGCTGTGTGCCAATAAACCTTTATTTTACCCGTGGGCCATAGTTTGCTGATTCCTGCCCTAGAATGAGAGAAATAGGCATATTAAGCAGAAAATCCTGATATGTGTTAATATAAGAAATAATAATTATTGTTCAGTTGGCCTTCAAAGAAAATGTTATTGGTATCCTTCAAAAGAAGATTGTAAGACAGTCATATTAAAGCATCTTAATTCACTGATGTTGTTGGCCTGGCCACAAACATTTATTAGAGAGATTTCGTGTGTTTAATCACCAAAAGCATTCTGTAAAAAGATGTTTTAATAAATATCGAAATCTTTTCATGAATTTTTCTATTGATAAATGGGAATCCTTTACCTACCTTTTGTTTTTTTAAGGGCCTCATGGACCAAAAATTCCATTGTAATTTTTGAGAATTAACATACAATTAGCCATAAAATACTTTAAAGACTGCATCTATCAGTTACATTTCTCTGCTGGTTTTTGACTTCTGCAAAATGACAGACCTGCCCTTCTTTAAAAATGGTTTTAAAGAAGACAAAGATATTGTTAAGTTCACATACTGTAACTTTATTCTGTAAGATTAAAACTTGTGACTAGTGGAATCGTAGTGAATGCACTTGCTGTATTGTGATTCTCTTTATAAAAAACAGTGTCTCCCGGCTCGCTCTCTGCAAACCTTTAGTGTAGATTATGTTAAACACCTTAGGACTGTCCTTGGTGAATGATGTTCTGAACGTGATCATGTGTGATTTTAAATTCCTTGGAGTACATGCTGTGTACCACGTTCATTCACAGGGCTTTGTAAATTGTGGTAACATCACATCATTACCATAGGAACAGAAAATAGTTTTGAATGTTACCATCCACTTACGCTTTCTTTTAAGATTGGACTATAACTCTAGGTTCTAACACTGTTCACAGTTTTAGATGGTGACTTAACTTTTTTTTTTTACGCTGTCAACCTGCCGTTTGCTTTTTACAGTAATACTTTGTGATACGTTAGCCATGACTTTCTCCCTAAGGTCCTTCGTCTTTCAGATTTAAAAACAATTTAAACTGACCACTTGACAATTTGGCAGTAAAAAAAAAAAAAAATCTGTGCATGTTCCACTTTATAAAATTTGTAGAGTTTCATATTTTAAACCATGTACCAAATTTACCTATTTTCTGTCCAGATATCTCAGCAGAGACAAACTGTTGTTCATTGAAGCTTTTGACCCCTTTCTTAAAGCAGCTTCTGCCTCAAGGGAAAAAGACACTGAAGAGCAATGGTTTGTTTTTAAGGATATGCTTTAGATTTCCTTGGGGTTGGGGAAGTTAGCAGTGTCCCAGCCAACACAGAGCACCCCCAACACGCGCGCTTCCGCAGAGACGTGGACGCAGCATTGCCAGTGAGACAGCTACTGACTTTAACCTTTCCTTCTAGGTTTTCTCCCTGCAAGCCGTAGGTGTATGCTGAGAGTAGAATTTCCCATCTGATCCTTCAAACTTTTCTTATAGGAAAATAAGGCAAAGAGTATGTTTAGAACAACCATCTGATAAACTGATGTGATGCATTTACCCCGTGTCTGTTCTCTGTGTTTCT